ATCAGCCCATGGATTGACATGATCTTTTGATATATATATATATGTATATATATACTGGTCGACTGGAAACCTAAGGGTGATTCGTCTTTTAAACACCGGGTATAATTATACTTATATTTCATAGGCATTTCTTATCCATGTTGTTTACAATGTTTAATTGTGTTAGCAATGACTGTAAAAGGATCCAATTGAAATACTGTTAAGATGATTTTTGTTGAGTGGATAACTTGAGAAGATTTTTTCATGTTTGGTGTATGAATTTTGAGGCAATATCCTTTGAGCTTCCAATTCTAAGAGTAATGCTCACATTAAAAGGTCTAAAATTCGAGTGAACAAGGGTTCTAGCTTACACGTGTTGGGGCAAAGGAACTATGCATAAACATGTGTGTTGTCAAAAATATTAATAAAAAAATGAATACTTATCCGTCTGTTCTCAACAATCTATGACTTAGATGTGTTGGTCAAGGGAACTATGAATAAACAAATAAATTCCTACATATGTGTATAAAAACATTAGGATGGTACTGTAGCCTCTAAAGACAGACCCATGTAGAAATTTGTTTCTACATGTATAAGTTGTTGGACATAGATGGACATATAAGGCAAGTTTCTATAAAAATATTACTAAACATATAAGCAGTTACACATGTGTTGTCAAAATTTCTACACGTGTAAGTTGTTGGGCATAGATGGACATATAAGGCAGTTGTTTATAAAAATATTAATAAACACATAGACACCTATCAATAAACGCATAGACACTGTCCATCTTAGGCACTTGTTTATAGAAGTATTAATAAACACGTAGACACTTACAATTGTGCTGTCAAAATTTCTATACATGTCAGTTGTTGAATATAGATGGAGATATAAGGCAATTGTTTATAGAAATATTAATAAACACAGATAATTTTGTGTGCTGTAAAAAATACTATGACGTACACCTCTGGGGCAAGGAACTATGAATAAAACAAATAAATACTTACATGTGTGCTATTGTTTATAAAAATGCCATAGCATTTTTTTAAGGCAGTTGTTTATAAAAATATTAATAAACAAATAAATACTTAAACATGTGCTGTCAAAAATACTATGACTCAAAAGTGTTGCGCCCTCTCCCCCTCTCCTTGTTCCTGGGGGCGGCGGCCAGGACCCCAAACTGCCTAGGCGGGTGCTGCCGCATTTTTTAACCTTGATCTTGAGAAATACCAAACATATTTACTAGGAAAAAATTACTACAAATTATTTTCAACTCATTTTCACTTTACAATAAAAATATAATTTTTAAGTATTTTCAAGCATTAGTCAGTTTTTTTGGTTAACCCACATATGGGAAAATGATTTATGGACCGATGGCCTACAGATAGAATGGCATAGGCCGGAAAGACTCATATTCAATCTGGGCACATCCAATGGCCACTATGTGGGATTTTTTTTTTCTATTTATTTTTTTATCATTCCTATTGAGGGGTGTGTTGAAACTAAGCACACAAGGGAAAACATAAAGAAACTCGTATGCAAAGAGAATGATGAAAATGTCCCTACTACTATCAGTGAGTCTGGGCCGTCCGATACTTCAATCTGGATTATCTTGCCTGTAACTGTTTCATAGGCTGTATGCTGCCTGCCCTAAGGAGCAGGTGCAGGTTAGATGGCTAAGATTCAATCTGGCCGCATCCGACACCAGCATGTATGTTTACTTTTTGTTTTTGATATGGTTTATATGAATCAGCTGAAATTTTTGGGGGAAGGGTGTGGAACCTAGGTGCAAAAGGAGAGAACATATATATATAAAAAAATCATATGCACAAAAAAGAGTGAAAATGCCCCTGTTACTGTCGGTGAATGTGAGCCGTTGGATGCTTCAATCTGGTCTGGTCTACTGTTCTATAGGCCGGGCGCCTCACAAAATTGTTACACACACACGCACACACACACACACACATATATATATATATATATATATATATATATACATATATATATGTGTATATACATATATATATGTATATATATACATATACTATACATGTATTGAGAGAGTATATATGCACGCACACATATAAACACATAGAGAGAGAGAGAGAGAGAGAGAGAGAGAGAGAGAGAGAGAGAGAGAGTACGTACGTCGTACGTACG